GAGGCCTCCTGCTCCTGGGGCCTCTCGGGGCCTCCTGTTGCCTTCCGAGGCCTCCTGGCGCTTCCTGTTGTCTCCTGGGGTCTCCTGTGGTTTCCTGAGGCCTTCTGGAGCTTCCTGGGGCCTCCTGGAGCCTCTTGGGACATCCTGTGGCCTCTTGAGTCTTTCTGTGGCCTCCTGATGCCTCCTGGGACCTCATGTGGTCTCCTGGAGCCTCCTGGAGCCTGTTGGAGCCTCCTGTGGCATCCTGAGAAGAATCTGCGCCCACGAGCCTGGCCACCAAAACTAGCAAACCGATCGAGACATCCTCAAACATCTGGCCCACCTGGGGGGTGAAAATGAGCGCCTCGCTCGAGACATCCTCCAAATCTGCTCCGAAAGCGAAGGATGTTGGGCACAGAAACAAGCAAACCGCCTGAGACATCCCCACAAAATGGCCGCGAACGAGCCCGTGCAACCACCCCTGGCGGCTCCCCTTAGGGGTGCTGAAATGAGCGCCTCGCTCGAGACATCCTCCAAATCTGCTCCGAAAGCGAAGGATGTTGGGCACAGAAACAGGCAAACCGCCTGAGACATCCCCACAAAATGGCCGCGAACGAGCCCGTGCAACCACCCCTGGCGGCTCCCCTTAGGGGTGCTGAAATGAGCGCCTCGCTCGAGACATCCTCCAAATCTGCTCCGAAAGCGAAGGATGTTGGGCACAGAAACAGGCAAACCGCCTGAGACATCCCCACAAAATGGCCGCGAACGAGCCCGTGCAACCACCCCTGGCGGCTCCCCTTAGGGGTGCTGAAATGAGCGCCTCGCTCGAGACATCCTCCAAATCTGCTCCGAAAGCGAAGGATGTTGGGCACAGAAACAGGCAAACCGCCTGAGACATCCCCACAAAATGGCCGCGAACGAGCCCGTGCAACCACCCCTGGCGGCTCCCCTTAGGGGTGCTGAAATGAGCGCCTCGCTCGAGACATCCTCCAAATCTGCTCCGAAAGCGAAGGATGTTGGGCACAGAAACAGGCAAACCGCCTGAGACATCCCCACAAAATGGCCGCGAACGAGCCCGTGCAACCACCCCTGGCGGCTCCCCTTAGGGGTGCTGAGTATGAGTAAGTCTGTGTATGAGTAAGTCTGTGTATGTGTACGTCTGGGTATGACTAATACTGTGTATGAGTAAGTCTGTGTATGAGTAAGTCTGTATATGAGTATGTCTGAGTGTGAGTAAGTCTGAGTATGAGTAGGTCTGAGCATGAGTAAGTCTGAGTATGAGTAAGTCCGTGTATGAGCAAGTCTGAGTATGTCCGACAGGAGGGGAGGAGAAAAGAGGAGGAGGAAGGAGGAGGAGGAGGAGGAGTAGGAGGCGTCCAAGTAATAAGAAGAACCCCATTTTAGGATATGGGGAACAATAACCCCATCTTAGGATATGGGGAATAACAAGAACCCCATCTTAGGATATGGGGAATGTGTACGTCTGGGTATGAGTAAGTCTGAGTATGACTAATACTGTGTATGAGTAAGTCTGGGTATGAGTGAGTCTGTGTATGAGTACGGCTGGGTGTGAGTAAGTCTGTGTATGAGTAAGTCTGTGTATGAGTATGTCTGAGTGTGAGTAAGTCTGAGTATGAGTAGGTCTGAGTATGAGTAAGTCTGAGTATGAGTAAGTCTGTGTATGATCAAGTCTGAGTATGAGTAAGCCCGACAGGAGGGGAGGAGAAAAGAGGAGGAGGAAGGAGAAGGAGTAGGAGGCGTCCAAGTAATAACAATAACCCCATCTTAGGATATGGGGAACAAAAAACATGATCGTCATCATCGTATTCTTCGGAGTCATCGAGATCATGATCATCATCGGACCCCTCCCAGCGCCGAGAGTCGGCAGCGTGTGGGGGCGTTGGGGCGTGTTCCACGGCGGCCTGGCTTCGCGAAGGTCCGCTTGGGCGGGTGTGCTGGGCGAGCTAGGCTCGCCCGTGTTCCGCGTGGAGCTAGGCCGCCTTGGAAGACACCCCTCTGTTCCCACACGCTGCCGCTGCCAGGGGTCAGGATGACGTGAGTTCACCAGACAACCACAGATGCGTCTTCCTACGAGGTCTGGGGACACGGCCTAGGAGATATTAAGTCTCGCCGGGATGTGGGACTTGTTCCATGTCCACGATTTAAGAGCTTTCCGAGGGGGGCGCTGCCGGAATAGCGACGGCGACGGCGACGGAATAGCTTCAGCACCCCGTCCCCCCAGTTGCGGATCAGAATGAGGGGGCGCCCGACCACGCGCCCAGGGACTTTGTAAGACTGCTCGGCCCCGTCACTTCTGGTTCTGGCCTGAGGCTGAGCAGTGCAAGAGTACAGACGGACAGGGGGCAACCGTCCGCAGCCTACACCCCCACTTCCACTTCCTCCGTTTTGTCCTCCACCTCCACTCCCTCTCTTTCTCCTCCAGTTCCTCCCTTCCCCCTTCCATTTCCAGTGCCTCCCCCGTCCTCCTCCACCTCCATTTCCTCCCCTTCTTCTTTCTCGATGCTCTCTGGGGTTTCTCGGGGACCCTCGTGGCCTTCTTGCGACGTGGCCCAACTGGGGGGTATAAAAACTCGTCGGAAAACTTCCGTCGGTTTTTTCGTTGTAATTTGACAGGTAGGCGTGGCCCCGGGGGAAAAAAAAACAGGTTTTTATACCAGGTGCGCGCTCCACCAGCCCAAAGCTTTTCGACGGGGTCCCGAAAAAAAACCGCAAAGTTTTTCGACGGGGCCCCAAAAAAGGGCCGCCAAGTTTTTCGACGGGCCCGGGCGGTTTTTCGACGGGGCTGTCGGCCGGTGGATTTTTTGCCCGATGACCCCCAAGAGGAGGCCCCAAGAGGCCCCAGGAGGCCCCATGAAACCCCAGGAGGCCCCAAGAGGCCCCAGGAGGTTCCAGGACCCAGGGGGCCCGACGAGGTCCCAGGAGGCCCCAAAAAATTCCAGGAGACCCCACGAAACTCCAGGACGCCCCACGGGGCCCCCGGAGGCCCCAGGATGCACCAGGAGGCCCCAGGATGCGCCCGGAGGCCCGAAGAGGCCCAAGGAGGCCCCAGGAGGCTCCAGGAGGCCCCATTGGGGCGTTTTCGAGTGGAAGGGCGCCGGCCATCCGCAGTGGGAGGGGAAGGGGAAGAGGAGGAGGAGGAGGAGGAGGAGGAGGAGGAGGAGGAGGAGGAGGAGGAGGAGGAGGAGGACGACGACGACGACGACGCAACGAGAATGACGGCGAGGATTTGTGATTGGACTTTGACTCAGCATTGGGTCGATGGTGACCGCGCTTGAAAGCAGCAGCAGGGTATCCTAATTTGTGTTATTGCCTCGCCTCTGGCGGTGGCGGGCTCGGTCAGCTGTGTCCCGACGTATGGTGCGGAGTTTACAGAAAAACCTGCGCGCCGAAGGTGCCCTTGATCATTTTGGAACCGTCATCGGCGGTCAGCAAATGCCCCGAATAGTTTAAGGCAGTTCGAGTTGAAATTCTGAAAACTGGCACTCAAGTGCGCACCGAATACGTATAAAGAGCGCCCGCGCGCGGGAAACGCTTCGATCAGATGTCAATCAATGCGTGGGGCATTTTTGCAAAAACGCTTTCGTAACATAAGTGCGTGGGGTTGCAAGCAGAACAAACTGCATATATGTTGTACTCCATCTAGCAACATGGCGTCGTGTCTGGCGGGGCCAGGGAACACTCCCCGCAGTTCGTTGTCAGCGAGCGCTGTTTGCTCGGAGGTAGCGTGCAGTTGTTGGCTCTTGCATCGCGCGTGCCGCGAACTGCGCGCCCGCAAACTTAACCACGCGTTGCTGTCATAAATGGTGGCGTCGGGGCCCTCGCGCAGCTGTCGGCTTTGTTGCAGCCCTGAGAGCTTTTGTAAGCCCCCAAACGACCGCATTTCGTTGTTCCCGTGCTCGGTACTTCTCCTAAGCGCGTCGGTAGTCGCACGGGCGTCTGCCATTCCTGCGGGGTTGCCTCTTTCGCGACTCGGCCCCGCTGACCCGTTCAGCTTATGATGCGTCGGCGAATGACGTCGAAGCTTTGGCTGGACAGCGCCGTTGCCGTCGCGGTGCAACAGGCCCCAGCAGCCCCGCCGTTCGAACTCGGCGGGGGCCGAGCGGCGGGTGAATTCAGGAAATTTGAAAAGCGAGCTCAGCTCCGAGATCAGGCGCCCAGGTGCGGGCATTTGCCGCTTCCGGGCCGTCGGCACTTTGAGATTGCATTGGCTAAGTCGACGCTCCAGCTTGTCAGGTCGCGCAATCAGGCACTGCGATCGCATCAAGATATGTTCAGAGGAAACAGGAAATCTCCAAAACAAATCCACCGCTTCCCCCTCGAGGGGGTGCCGATGGTGACAAGTGCGACACGTGCCCCCCCCCAAGCCCCCTGCTGGTGTGGAAGGTGGGCGCGCCGGCGCTCGGCTGCTTCCTCTGGAAGGCTGGGCCCGAGGCATCGGGCCTGGGACAAACGGGCCTCCCCTGCTGGGGCCAGTGGCCTCATTCGCGGGTCCAGCGCAAGTGGAACGCCGCGTGGTGCTGCCGGAGGTGCCTAGTGTACATCTGGAATGTCGCCCCCGCAACCCTGGGCCACATCATGGACCGCGACTCCGGTGACGACGCCCCGCGGTGGCCGACGGCCCGCCCACGTCGGGCAGCGCGGGCGGACCCCAGCGAAACAGCTTTAGACCTGGCAGCCCTCCTCACACCGGCGTCCGCGGACGCGAATGCCACCTCTACGCCCGCAGCCTCCCCCCAGAGGGCGCGCGGCAGGGCGAGGCAGGGAACGGTGGCGGCTGACCTCGGGGCAGCTCGAACCGGCGCACGGTTGCCGAGATCCTGGCCCGTCTCCCAGAGTCGCATCCTCCGAAGGCCCTCAAAGTTGGTCGCAGGAGCGTTGCAGCTCTATCCTCCGAGGAGGGAGGTGCGCCCGAGCACGGACGGCGCAACAAACGGGAAGACGCCCCTCGCACCCTGGTCGCTTACTTGCGGAACCACCGCCCAAAGCTGGGCGACGCGTGGATGAACTTTGTCAAGGAATACGGCGCCGACATTCCCGCCCCGAGCGATCAGGGAACCTCGCGGTCGGCTCGCCAGCTTGCTCCTTTCCTGCGCGAGGTGCATGGCCCGAGGTCCCCGACAGCGGACTCCCCGTTGGCGCCCCCTGGGAAGGCAAGAGGTGGGCCGCGGCCAGGGTAGTCGGGCACCTGCTACACAGCCCCACGTATCAACATGCTTGGACGTCCTTCCTCCGGGGCGCTGCTCCCACCAGGGGGCAGAACCCCTTCCGCCACGACCTCGCCGTCCTCGCGGGCTTCGCCGCCGGCCTGAACTCTAGCACTCTCGCGACCACCTCCATCATTACCTTGGCGGAGCAGGGCCCCTCGGCCCCATGCGCGTGCGATGCCAGCGCCCCGCCTCTGGGAGATTCCGCGACTGCCTGGCTGCAGCCGGGCTCTGGGCGCATGGCGGGGTCTGCGCGCGACGCCCCCCCGGCCACCGCTGCCCCCTGGCCCGACCCAGCCAGCAGCGACGTCTTGCTTTCGGCTCCCCGGGCAGACCGCATCCCCTTGGTGACAGGCCCCGAAGCGACAGGTCCCCCCCCCCCTAGGAGCTAGGAGAAGAGGCTTGCTCCCCGACGAGCCCAGCGCCCACCGTCAAGGCGGAGGTTGCAGGATAACGACGAGGAAACAGGTGAAGCCGCCCCCCGACTCCAGCACCTCCCCCTGGCGTTGCACCAGACTGCACGATCGGCCCCGAGGGCTTCCCGCTTCCTCTTCCGCCCGGAACATCAGACGAAGAAGTTGGAAGCAGCCCTCGATCCCTGCGACCGTCTAGGGGCGTTTGGGTGCGACGCCAGACGCCTCAGCGAGGGCCCGCCAGAGCGACGCCAGCCGAGAGGTAAGACCAGCGCCAGCCCACCGCCCATGGCGACGCGCGACCTTCCGCAGCGGCATCCCTCACCTGCTTGCAAACCGGCGAACAGCAGCGCCCCAGCGGCAGCGTCTGACAGCCGCTCCTCCCCCCCCCCGGGGTGGCGCGAGCGCAACTCCCAGCCAGGCAGCTCCTGCGCGCCCGCCCCAGACCCCCGGGGCCCCGCCCCTACCTGCCAGCTCGAAACCGCCGCTCGCCAACTCCCGCGAATGGGGCCCCAGGCGGGTTTGATGGCCTCGTCGACCCCGTCGGAGGGGGCCCCACGTGCAGGGAATGGCTGGGCAACGTCGATCTCGACCTGTTTGCGGAGGCACCCTCAACCAAGATCTCCCGTCTCCAAAAGACTCTCGGGGAGTGTTCAGCAGCATCTGGCATCCCTATGCCCACAAGCACCCCTCTGCCAACGGCCCAAAGAGCGACCTCGCGCTGAACCCCGAGAGCACGTGCAGCGCTTTCCTCGACGCCTGGAAGCGCTGTGGGTACTACGCCTACGAGATGGATCGCGAACTCGGGCTCCAGGTCAAATGGGGCTGGGAGCGCGACGAGTGGTCAAGGCGCCAGGGCGCCAGCGCCCCGCAGTGGAAGGATGCGCCACAAGCTCCCGCCAACCCTGGGTCTGGGACTCATGGTCATGATCGCGGGGTTGGGGCGGCGACGACTGGCAGGCAGCAGGCAAGCGTGGCGGCGGCGATAGCAGTGGCGGGAGAGGTGACAAGCGATCCCGTGCATGGCTATAGGGCCCCACCCTTCCGCTGGGTCCCGACGCGCCCCGCCCCGACCACGTGCGCTTCGACGGCTCTGCGTTGACTCCGCCCCTGGATGCCCGACCGGACCTGCTCCGGCGCGCCCGGCCATGCGCCGGCCGGACGCCCCAGTGGACAACCGACCGCAGGTTTCCTCTCCAGATGTGCAGAGCTCAGGCCCGAGGGACTCGCCGGGGCTGCGCCCCCGATTCTTCAGTTTAAATAGGGCCCGTTAGGCCATGAAGGAACGCGGTTCGCTATTATCGCTGTCTGTAAAATGAGGTCCGCTAGGCCAATAGTTTCGGCGCCGCACTCGCGCGGCGCGCCGTGGTCTCTCGCTGCCCCTGGTTGGACCTCCGACCTGTGTTTGTTTAGGGGCTTTGGCGAGGACCTCCGACGTCGGCCCTCGCAACTATCACCCTGGGCGCTACTCGCGCAGCATTCGCTGTGGCCGACGCCCGACTTGCAGGCAGCGCTCCCTCTCTGGGGCCACTCCCTGCCCTGCCCCCGTCGTTTAGGCCCTCCGGGCAGGGGCTACGGATTGCTGACCATGCTGGCTCGTGGGCCTCCGCCGGGGCCGCGGTCCACCTGATGTCCCCCCCCCGTTGTTTCGCCCGTGGCGCGTCCGCCGCTTTTCCGGCGGTGGCCGCCAGTCGACTTGCAGGCAGTGCTCCTTCCCTGGTGCCTCTCCCTGCCCAGCCCCCACTGCTCCCCGTCCTTGGGGACTTGAGCAGCGGCGCGCTGACAATGCTGACTCGTGGGCTACCGCTGGGGCCGTGGTCCACCTGTCCAATGCCGGCCTTCGGCCCGCCGTCGATGTCCTGACCCCTGTTGCGCGATATCCCGCGCTGCCGGGCGGCCCGCTGGGTCGGGGTGCCCCCCCCCGCTGGGCTCGGCCTCCGGTCTTTTCGTCGGTCGGTGGTGTCGTCCCCCAACGCGCTGGCCTTCCCTTTGCCGCTCAAATCGCGGTTGCTCCTTCCCTATACGGGGCCGGCGGCCGTCTTCGGCGCCGCTCTGACCTGTGCGCCCCCACCGCGTGTGGCCGGTTCCCTGGGCTCAGGCTCGGGTCTTCCCTGTGTTGCTCTCGCCCGCCCGTCGCCACTTGGTGTGCTGGCTTCGAGCTCGTGGCCCTGTTCAGTGCTCGTGGTGGGTCAACCTGGCACCGCTTCCCGCGCTGGTTCGTGGTGGCCAGCTCCGCTGCTTCCCGCACTCGTGCGTTCTGCTGCCTCGGGGCTACGCGGCTACGGCCACCCTGGGATTTGCAGCCCGCTAACGCTCTCGCCTCCTGGCTTTAATTAATTGACCAACGGACCTTCGGGCCACCCTGGTACTCACGCACAGTTTTCCGGGGCTGCGTCCTTACATTAATTTCGGCTTCTGGCCCGGGTCGTCGTGTGTCCCGACTCCCTGGAGCCCCGACTCTTTGCATATTTGCACGCTGGCAGTACGGCTCAGTTTCAGCTGGCCCCCCACCCGCCGGTCCGCCGCTGGGCTGCTGCGTGAGGGTTCGGTTCGCCGCTGTAGGTGTGGCCACCCTCCGTCGCTTTAGGTTAATTCGTCGCTGCGTGCCCCGCTTTGACTGGACTCGCCGCCGGCGCGCTCGCCCGCGGCCGCTGACTTAAAGCGTATCCCCACCAGCCCACCTAGAAACGATGTCCAGGCGAGTTGAGGTGATCAGGGAAGTGCGGCAGCAGCGAGGAGGACGGCCGAAGCGTCCAAAGGAGTGAGGAGGAGAAAGATGAGGTGGATGGATGGATGGATGACGGAGTGGGAAGTAGGAGGATGAATAGGATGAGGAGGAGGCGGAGGAGGAGGAGGAGGAGGAGGAAGAGGAGGAGGGGGAAGAGAAACAGTAGGAGCAGGAAGGAAGAACAGGAGGAGGAGGAGGGCAAACGCAAGGGCCAGAGGTCTCTTGGATGCCTCTCGGAGCCTCTTGGGGTATCTCTTGGGCGAGTCATGGTGGCCTCTTGGCGATCCTGGGGGGCTCTTCGGGGTCTTGGGTGCCTCGGGGGGGGGGGCTCCTGGGGCCGCTTTTGGGGGCCTCCTGGGGGCCTCTTGGGGGCCTCTTGGGGCCATCTTGGGGCCATCTTGGGACCCCTTGGGGCCTCCTGGGTGCTTCTTGGGGCCATCTTGGAGGAGATCGGTCAACGACGGGGGGGTCCTTAATTACGCCCCCCCCCCGCCACCCCCCCAGGAGGCCAACATGGGGCCAACACCTTTGTAGAATCAGTGATTTTGGTTTCTTCGCCGAGGCCGTTTTGGACGCTCTAACTACCCGTGCCCCCCCCCGTCCAGGTCCACGGGGAGGGGGTAAAGAGGGAGGGGCAAACCCCTCCCCGAAGGGGACGAGGGAGGGGTGGAAGAGGAAACGCCTTGAACCACCGATGCCCAGAGGGCTGGTGGGATTTCGGAGCTCCAGGATCATAGATGATAAGGACGTCTCAGGCGAAGCGCCCCGCCCGCCCCTTGTACTGGCGTCGGGATGCGACAGGGATGCGTAATTTATATGGACACGGGATGGGGATGGAGGAGGAGGAGGAAGAGGAGGAGGAGGAGGAGGAGGAGGAGGAGACGCATTCTCTCTTGCGGCCCTCGTGGGACGCTCGTGGGGCGCTCTTGGGCGCTCTTGGGAGAGTCTTGGGGCCGCCTTGGGGCCCTCTTGGCGCTCTCTCTCTTAGGGCTCTCCCGGGGGCCCTGGAGGACCTCCTGGGTTCATGTTGGAGGTCATCGATCAAACGCAGGGGGGGTCCGATTTCCCTCTCCCGTCTGGGGCCATCAGAATTGCCTCTTGGAGCTCCTCTTGGGGCGCTCTTGGGGCCGTCTGTAGGGGGGCCTCATGGGGCCCTCTTGGAGCTCTCTTGGGCTATCTTGGGGACATCCTGAGGCCTCAAGACCGCATCCAAAGCGAAGAGGCGAGAAGGTAGCCATACTTGATATCCCCTGTTTTGTCATTTTTGTTTTGCCTCGGAGGGGGGGCCTTGGGGGCCCCTGGAACACTCGGAGCCGTCTTGGAATTTTCTTTGAGGCCTCTTGGAGCATGTACGAGCCATCTTCGGCTGTCCTGAGCCATCTTCAGCAATCTTGAAGCATCGGAGGCCGCCTTGGAGCCATCTTGGTCGATCTAACCTTTCGTACCCCCTCCCACAAACCTTGGGGAGGAATGGGGGAGGTGAACCTTCCCCGAAGGGAAGAGGATTTTTGATGAGGAAAGACACACATCGTTAGACCACCTGCGCCCAGATGGCCGGTGGGACTCAACGTGCCAGTATACACAAGCGGCGCTGATCTTGAAGCTGCATGTGCAGCGCTGGCACAAGTGCAGTTGCACATGTAAATGAACATGCGATCGCAAGTGCATGTGGAAGGGGACGTGCAAGTATGTGTATCGTTGTGAGTGCACTTGAAGTGAAGATAGCATAGCTCTAAGTCGGAGGGTCAACTTTATGGCACTTGTAGTGTAGCGTAATGTATTGACCGTATCTTCGTTCTTGCTGTAGGTTCCTTTGTCCAAAGACCGCATGCGTATTTCAAGCCTGCTTTACTCCTTTGTCGGTTCACTGGCTTTCAGCGATAGGCGTTCGTTTGTGCCTGGAGCTCCATAGGCAGTGGCCACAACCTAGGGAGTTGGCGGCGATGGCGAGGCGTACCCAGCCATTTCTAATGACCCTTTTTGGCTCCCCGCTCTTCGTTTCCCCCTCATTCTCTTGACGCCATTTTGCCCTGCTCGTCTCCCCGGGGCTCCACGGTTCTGGGGGCTTCTGCGGTGGTCGCGGGCAGTGATTCATGCTTCCGCAACTGGAGCACAGGTACGCTGTTTACTCCAACAGCGTGATCGAGGTCGCCGAGGGGGTCAAGACGCACGTTGTCGACAGCACCCTCAAGTGCGAGCCGCTTCTCTGCCATAGGGATGAATAGTACCCAATGTCTCGGCAGTGGGCGGGCGATCGGGTGGGGGCTTCGAGGGTCGGTGCCCTGAAGCAGCGGCTTTCCCGAGGCACCTCGAGTTGGCTCAAAGCTGCATGACACGTTGCAAATGCCCTTGCTGTCCCCAGGTACGAGTCAGCGCAGGAGTGGCCCTCCTATCGTGCCCTCGAGCCCATGTCCATGCTCAGGCCCCAGAACTTGAATGAGGCGCACATCCTTGGTGTCTTGTCCTGGGGATTGGCCTCCTGGCACCAGAGCCTCGACGAGGCTCACCGTCGGCCTGCTCCTGACGGCGAGAACGAGCAGGACGGGCCGGTGCACCATTCTGGTGCAGCACCCTGGCAAATGTATGGCGTTTCAGTTCAGATCGGCGGCGCGCCCTGGAGGAAAGGCAGAGGGGGCGGGCCTCCTCAGATGGCTCAGAAGGCCCCCGGCTCGCTGAGTAGCTCTCTGAGCCTTCTCCGAAACCACAGAGGCCTTCTCGGAAGGCCGGAGGAGCTTCTGAGAAGCCCTGGCGACTTCTGGGAAGGCCGGCTCTTTCTCACTTTCACCGGCGGCGTGCCGACGACCAGAGCACGCACACATTGGAGCGCTTCAGCCCAAGAGCGTGCCCAGATTCGTATGAAGCCTTCGGGCTCCAGGTGAGGGGGTGCAGGATGCCGCCCGGGCAGGTGCAGTGGCCCGTTTCTCCACGGCCAGCCCTTGAGCGCGCATGGCCCGCATCGATCCCTGCGCCCTCGAGAGATGCGCCAGCTGTGCAGCGACGAAGACCCTGCCGGTGCCCGACTCATGGTACTCTTTCACGTATCTTCGTCTTCCGCCGAGCGGATCGCGCGCGCTGGCGCCCGACCCAGAGCAGGGGGCGGTCGGGGCCGCAAGGGGTATCTGGGGCGCCGACGGGATCGTCACAACGCAGGACGCGGGGCGCCGCCGAGGGTAAGAAGAAGCTGACCAGGGTGTACTGACAGGGTGTGAGGTCCATGTGAATGAATAGTCTGGTTTTTTGATGTGCAACCCAGGCGTAGGGTGTCGATGAACCCAGAGCCTATTTGTTGGTTGATGATCCGAGGTTGAGTATTTCTCAAGAGGAGTGGCGCGTGCGCGCGGGGTGCGGGGGGCGCCGTCAACCATGAGGGCAGGGGCGCCCGGAGGACCAGGGACGGGGGGGACCACGGCTTGTCAGGGGCAACGTTAGGGGGGGCTCGGGGTTCGTGCGATCGCGAATTGTGCGTTTTTGTTCGCCGTTTGCTGGAGTGTCTCCAGCGGGGTTGCCCGGATCGTTCCGAACGGCCGCCAGAGGCCCGCGTTATGACCCGAAAGCTACGTTAGGTGGGCATGGGTTCAGGGCGGAATGCACCGACCACCAACCGCCTTATCGCCGACGGGGGCCTGGACGCCCACCTCCGCAACGTGCGGATTGGCTGCCGGGGGCCTGCCTTATATTTACTGGCTATGTATTGCCGATGCCAGCTCGATGTTTCCCCCCCATGAGTTGGTCCCCCCCATCGGCCCCCCTCATCGGCTCTGGCACCTGTGCGAAACGAGCCACCCGGATTTCCCGTCTCCCCACCTCGCCATGTGCTTTCTCGCGGGCGGGGGTTCGCCGTTTCGGGGGTGGCTCGGGTTTGGGGATACCTCAGATGCAGAGGCATTGCTTCCGACATCGAGCGAGTCATCGCAGGGTAACCGAAGCGAGTCGTCTCTGGGCCCGCACTCAGGTGTGGCAAGGGCGGCGAGTTCGGCACGGCGCTCAACTTGGACATCTTCATCGTGGTGTGGACGAAGGTGATACAGGCGCGTCAGGGTACGGGAGGGGATATGACATATGGGTAACGGTAGGGAAGGGAGGCAGTCGCCTCCCTGAGTCTCCACTCCCCCCCTTTTGTGTTTTTGGTTCGGGCTCAAGGCAATCTTGCTGTGAGGTGGCATGCCGCTTGAGACATCACAGACAATGAATTCCCTGCACCTTTGAGCGTCACTTTGATTGCGGCAGCAGGTTCTGCTTACGAGCCACAGGTGGAGTTCACCGCGTTCGTCTTCCTGCGGCAGATGACGATTGCTGGATGGTCCTCTGTGATTAGCTGGTGGAGGATGCGATCGAAGGTGGACTCGTTGGATCGCGGCCTGTGGCCCGCTCGTCTTTTTGTTGGCCCTCACTTGCAGGGACGTCCCTCGAGCGTGGCGCTCTGCGACGATTGGTGCTGGATCTTGGTCATCGCCCGTGGGGCGGCGTAGGTTTCGGTGGTCTAGATCAACGGGCAGGGCGTGAGTGTAACCAGGACCTGATCATCGCGTCTTGCGCGTTTTTTCTTTCTTTTTTTGTATCTCTCTCTCTCTCTCTTCTTCCCTCATTGTTTCCCTCTCACTCTCCCTCCCTTTCTCTCTACCCCTTTCCCTCTTTACCTCTTTCTCTCTCGCTCTCCATCTTCTTTTTCTTCTTCTTCTTCTTCTTCTCTGTCCCTCGCTCTTGCTCCCGCTCTTGCCCTCTCTCTCTCTCTGTTCCTCTCTCTCTCTTTCTCTCCCCCTCTCCCTCCCACTCTCTCTCATACAGTCCCTTCCATCCAGACCCCTCTTTCCCGCACTGCCACAGGATGGGGCGTACCTCCAGAACAACTGGACCGTGAAGGCGGACCCAGACTCGGTCTTTTTCCCAGACAGGCTCCAGGCAGCGATGGCGCAGCGCGCGCGCGCCCCCCCCCCCCCGAATGGCGAGTGGCCTGCGTGGCCGGCGGCCACAGGAAAATGTGTCTGTCGACGGAGAGGGCGCGCCTAGGCGTCGGAGTCTTGACTCCGCGCTTGCAGCAGCGGTGGAGGAGGGGGAGGCGGGCCAGGAGAATATTGAGAAGGAGGAGGAGGAGGAGTAGGAGGAGGAGTAGGAGGAGGAGGAGGAGGAGGAGGAGGGAGAAGGAGGGAGGAGGGGAAGGAGGAGAGAGGAGGAAAGATGAGAGAGGAGGAGATCAAGCTTTGTGCGCTCGCGCCATAGCTGACATCCTACCCCTTCCACCCGTCCCGTTCATTGCGCTGCTCTCTCTCTCCCTCTCTCTCTCATTATATATACATATGTATATATATATAAACCTGCTCACGCGTGGGATATCGACCCTGGAACCGCAAACAGGACCGCATTGTGTCGTGTACAAGCACGAACGGGGAGCTGCGTACGATGGAGGAGGAGGAGGAGGTGGAGGATGAGCAGGAGGATGACCAGGAGGAAGAGAATGATGCTCAGGAAGTTGGAGGGCGAGTCGGAACATCAGCAGCAGGAGCAGGAGTGGGAGAAGCGGGCGGAGCAGGATGACCAGGGGAAGGCGGGGGAGGGGAAAGGAGCGGGCCGACGACGATGAGGGACCATTCGGATCCAGAATCGCCATCCTGAACGATTGGAGCGAAGCGCCGATCCTGAAAAGAGGCCAGCGCTGCAGCGGGAACCATAATGGGCCACCTTTTCAGAAACCCTGAATCATCCGATTGAAACACAAGGCATAGGATCAGCTTGTGAAATCCAGTGTGAAACAAAACATGCATACGCGGATGAGGGTGGGTCACTCCCCGGGCATCTTCGGGGGAGAGATCAACGTAGTAGTAATAAAGGTAAGTTTAGAGGGAGGACGAGGGAGGGAAAAGGATTATCGACAATCGTGGATCAAAGATCGAGGATCGAGAAGCGAGGCGCGAGGAACGAGGATCGAGGATCGATAGCGATGATGAAGCTGATGATGACACTGATGATGCTGATTATGATGCTGGTGATGATGCTGATGATGCTGATAATGCTGCTGATGTTGATGCTGATGCTGAAACTGATGCTGATGCTGATGCTGAGGCTAGTGCTGCTGCTGACGATGATGCTGCTCATGATGCTGATTCTTAGTATGATGCTGGTGATGATGCTGATGATGTCGATGATGCTGCTGATGGTGACGAGGACGATTATGTTTATGATGATTATGATGATGTTGCTGCTGATGCGTAATCTGCTGCTACGGATGATGTTCATTATGCGTATGATGATGTAGTTTCAGCGTATGATGATGCTGATGTTGATGATGATGATGGTGTGGACAGTGTTATTCTCGGTGATGGTGATCATGATGTTGATGATGATAATGATGATGATGGTGATGTTGCGGAGGATGCTAGTGCTGCTGTTGATGGTAATAATGATGTTGATGATGATGGGGACGATGATACTGTTGATGACGATGTTGATGATGCTGAACACGATGCTGATGATGCTGATGCTGATAACGATGCTGATTTTGATGGTGATGAAGAAGCAGATGATGCTGCTGATGATGATGCTGATACTGATGATGATGATAAAGCTGATGCTGATGATGATGATGATGCTGATGCTGATGCTGATGCGTATGCTGATGATGCTGATGATACTATGGATGATGATGATGCTGCTGTTAATGATGTTGCTGATGACTATGCTGATGATCATGATGATGAGGGGGTTGAGGAGGATGCTCATTTTGATGATGAGGACGATGCTCATGCTGATGAGGATGATGATGATGATGATTATGAGGTGAGGAGGGGGAGACGGAGGAGGAGGAGGGCCAGGATGAGGAGGAGGAAGACGACGAATAGGAAGAAGCTTACGAACATAATAATAGTAATAATACGAATGAGAAGAACCATACTCATACGACACATACTAATCTTATTAGTGATAAAGGGACGAATAAGAAGCCGAATCAAATTACGAAGCAGAACACGAATCCGATAACTAATACTCATACGAAGAAAACCACTACTAAGATAATACTATGACGAACCATGGTAATAATACTAATAATCTTAAGAATGGCAATGACCATACGGATACACATGCTACTACTGCCGCGAAGCATAATACGCAGAAAAAATAGTACTAACACGAATCAGATGAAGACTACGAGTACGAAGACTAGTCGATTAATACCAACAAGAAAAAAGGGGCACTACGAGAAAGAACAAGGAACAACTACTAAGACTGACATTAAAGGGGATACGAATAATACGAATACTAATAAGAATAACCATCACAAGAGAAGGGCGGAGGAGGAGGAGGACTAGGAGCAAATGAGGGTCGCTTCGTACTCCAGCGGGTACGCGGCTGGCCTAGGCATGCGCTGGCGCGGCGGTCATGTGGGGGCCCCCCCCTGCGGTGGCGGAGGCGGTGCCCGCGCCAGTCCTGCGGTGGGCCGGTCGGGTCATGGGCTCCGATGACAGCCAGTCGAGACAATAGCGCCCCACCTGGCGTTTTCCGTCTTTTTGCTGCCTGGAGGCTTTCGCCGCCACCTTTGGATTTGTTTCGAATCACGGGTAAGGATGGAAATCGGGAGGTGTCCGGGGGCCGATTTTCCTGGTTTTGAGCGGATGTGGGCCGGGCGGGAGAACCGCCGTTGTCTCAACTGGCCTTCCTGTGGGTGGGCCACCCCCGTTGAAGGCAAAGGCAGAGAGGAGGTCCAGTTCAGGGGAAACGTCAGGGGGGATATTCTCGTGGGTGGGGGATGCATCGACCGTCAATTTGCTCGCCGATTGGGGCCTGCTAGCCCAGCCCGCCTAGGAACGTGCGGATTCGCAATCAAGTCGACACATATCCAGATATATTGAGGTATATCCAGAGGCATCCAGGTAGGATCCAGGAGTCGAATAAGCTCCAGCGCGAGACGAGGGACAGCAGAGGTTGTTAAGCCCTCCTCGAACTGGGGAGGGACGTACCCTTCCTTTTCTCTACCCCTTTTATGCTCTCTGTCTCTCCTTCTCCCTCGTTCTCTTCCTCTCTTCTCCTCTCTTCCTGCATTATTGGTCGCGTGAGGCTCTGCTTCTTTCGCAGTTGCTCAGTGCAGCCTGTTCGGAGACTTTGGGTTGCTGTGGGCGCACGTAAAGGAACGATGTATGATCATAGGCAGGAGCAAGAGCAGGAATGAGGAAGGACTCGCCGCGCATCGCAAGGTCCTCAGTCGGTGGGCTCTTGGGCGCGACAGCATGGGTGCGGCCCGGGGCCCGTAAGGGCAGCAGCTTAGATCAGGGGAGGAAAGGAGAACGGGATGAGGAGCGGGGGGAAAGGAAGGGGAAATGAGGAGGGAAATGAGGAAGCTCTGGCCATCAGAGAACCTACATCTGAGCGGCCTTGCGGCTCAGCTCCTCCCTCCTCCCCAGACCCCCGACGCCATGATTTCTCTTTCATGACGTGCACCGCCAGAGGTCTCGACCTCTTCCCTGGGACCGGTTTTTCGTCCCGAGTCGTTACATGACGGTCCTGAGGCCGGCGATGGCCACCGGAGGCCGAACATGGTTCTTTTCCCACCACATGGTGATGTTTTCAAGGTTGGAGGGTGTCTGGGTCCTTCCCTCCTCCGTCAGAGGATCCGTTCTCCGCTTTTCCCATCAGGTTGCGCACCAGCTGAACGACGGAGAAGAACCAGGTCGACTGCGCGGATATTCGCGGGTGAGCTGCCCGCGTAAGGTCGCGCCTAAGCGCCCTCGTTCTCCACCCGGTGTGCCGTGCTGGCGGCCCGCGTAAACCGTGGCTTAAAGTCAAAAAGCAATCTCGCGTAAGACCCGTGTCTTTTCGTCGCTCAGCTCATCTGGGCTGGGTGTTGCGCAGCCGCGCCGCGCGCGGCTGCAGCGCGCCAGGGTCAGTCTGCGGGACAGGGGGGCGCCCCGAGGCGCTTCGGAAGTGAGAAAAAGTTCCTTTGATGACCTTTTTCGCCAATCGAGGGAGATCCAGATCCATCGAGGCGAATCCAGATCGTCGAGGTGAATCCAGATAAACTGAGGTATATCCAGAGATATCCAGGTAAATCTGAAGACATCGTGCAAGCTCTGGCGCCAGTCGAGGGACGACAGAGGTCGTCCAGCCCTCACCGAGGGAGGTCCTCGAATGCTACTGGGAAATCCAGGGGGCGCTCCCTGGAGTGGAGCCCCAAGTGGGCACGTGTAGGACCCCGCCCGCCCGCTCGCTGCTGGCGCCCCGCGGCAAGCTGCAGGCTGCTCACCAGCTGTCGGTCGCACCCTGCACTCTATCGCGGGCGCCGTCTGTTAGTCAAAACTTCAGGCCGAGGAGAAGGGGGCTTTTGCTGGGCATCGCAAGTTATTCGGGCGGTCTTCCTCGCCGGCTGGCCGCCCGCGCCTCTCGGGCTCGACTGGCGCCGGCGGGGCAAGCAAGAGCGCGAAATACCCGTCCAGTCCTACCAACACGTCTTGTGGCGTGGCGAGAACGAGGAAATTGGGAGAGGCGAAGCGGGAGAGGATGCTGCTGCTGCTGCTGCTGATGATGATGATGATGAGGAGGAGGAGGAGGAGGAGAAGGAGGAGGAGACGGAGGAGACGGAGGAGGAGGAGGAGGAGGGTAAGGATGGGAAGCAGGAGAAGGAGGAGGATGATGAGGAGGAGGACCAGAGAGAGAGAGAGAGAAATAACAATAGTATCATGCTGCTGCTGATGGTGATGCTGCGGCTGCTGCTGCTGATGATGATGGCGATGTGATGGTGATACTGATGATGATGGTAATGCTGTTGCTGATGATGATGCTGTTCTTGATGATGCTGATGCTGATGCCGATGCTGATGCTGATGCTGATGCTGATGTTGATGTTGATGATGCTGATGACGATGACGATGACGATGCTGATGATGATGATACCGATGACGATGTTGATGATGCTGA